GTCATTTCTCCAAAACTCACAGGTTTGACAGTACTTGTCCTCCCCTGTCTTGTGGGAGCAGGAGCTCTCATTGGCTCATTCCTTCGCAGACTATCCCGCTTGGCTCAAGAGCAGGTGTTGTACTATGCATGTTATATTTCATGTATTATAAGCATATAGCGGCTGTCTTAATAAATTCAAGATTTGTTCTAATTACTGCCAGCAGATGTTAGTTAAGTTTGAACTCCTATTTTGAAATGCAGTAAAATGTAAACATATGCAGCAGTGCTTAATTTATTAGTACCACTGGCACTCAAAGCAACCAATAAAAAGCACTGCATGAGCTATTATTTGCAAAATTAGTATAATTTGCTGTCTGAATGTGTTTTTACTTCTTGCTGTCAAATGCAAGGTAGCAAAGGCGACAGGGGTGGCAGATGAGGCACTTGGTAATGTGCGCACAGTAAAAGCTTTTGCAATGGAGGAACGAGAGCTCCAGTAAGTGAGAATATTTTTTGTTATACTTCTACCCTTTGTACTTTCAGAAAAGCACTAAATCTATGACAGAGATACAATGTTTTGATTTCCGTAATGTTTTTACACAGGTTATATGCATATGAAGTTGACAAATCATGTGAAATGAATGAAAATCTTGGTACTGGGATTGCCATTTTCCAAGGGCTGTCAAACATAGCCCTGAACTGTGAGTGTCTTTTACAATGTTAATTAGTTGACACACTTTTTAGCAGGCTGTTAAACTACCAACATTATGCTAATGTTTTTGTGTCGTGTTAATACAGGCATTGTCCTTGGAACTATTTTTGCTGGAGGAACTTTAATTTCAAGCAATGAAATGTCTCCTGGAGACCTAATGTCCTTTTTGGTTGCCTCTCAGACTGTTCAGAGGTAAAAACACACAACTTGCTCCACGATGATTTCTCTTTTACTGTTAAATGTATTCTTTCAAAAGTAGTTAATTACAAGTCATGCATTCATTTTATGTTTAGGTCTTTGGCCAGTATCTCCATACTTTTCGGTCAAGTAAGTAAAAACTACGATTATCTGATTATCCAACCAGATTTGAAACCGGAGTATGTGAACATTTCCAAATGCCTCAAATATTTTGCTGGCAATCTCTTAACATTTGTCGCAGGTGGTAAGAGGAATGAGCTCTGGGGCTCGGGTTTTTGAATACCTTGCTTTGCAGCCCACTATCCCCCTCTCTGGAGGAGGACGCATTCCATACCATTCACTCACAGGAAGAGTGGACTTCATGAATGTCTCGTTCAGGTTGAAATCCTTCTAATTCAGCTCCAAATCAAATATAAGTTTAAAACTACAACAGAGCACAGACATAAAAGAATGTTTTGTGAATGATGTATTGTTTTCTATTGATATGTTTCCAGTTATCCAACAAGACCAGGCCATCAAGTCTTGCAGAGGTTCAGTTTGACACTACCACCCAGTAAAACAGTCGCCATTGTTGGAGAATCTGGAGGAGGTAATTTCTGACATTTCATTTAGTAACTGTTCGACATTCAAACAATATTGGGTCATCTGATAAATGTTTAACCCTGTAGGAAAGTCCACAGTGGCGTCCCTGCTGGAGCGTTTCTATGACCCTACCAGCGGCGTAGTCATGTTGGACGGCCTCGACATTCGAACACTTGACCTTTGCTGGCTCAGGAGCCAAGTTATCGGATTCATCAATCAGGTCAAGGCAGCTGATCATTTCATGTTCAGTTTTTAAAAAGTTTTAGTTCCTAACAATTTTCACTGCAACTTTCTTTTTTTCCTCTTTCTTCTTTCTTTTAGGAGCCAGTTTTGTTTGGATCATCCGTCATGGAGAACATCCGTTTTGGGAAGCCTGAGGCTACAGATGCTGAGGTCATTAATGCAGCAAAGCAAGCCAATGCTCACGGCTTCATCACGGGTTTCCCAGACGGCTATAACACCGTGGTTGGTATGTGCTCCCATTTGAGCTTTCACGACTGTTAAGAAACGGTGCCGCTTGTTCATTCTAAACTCCAGATCTTTAAATCCAGGTGAGCGAGGTGTGACATTATCAGGTGGACAGAAACAACGCATTGCCATTGCCCGCGCTTTGATCAAGAACCCCAGTATTCTGGTGCTGGATGAAGCCACAAGTGCTCTGGATGCAGAATCAGAGCGAGTGGTGCAAGAGGCTCTGGACAGAGCCACAAGGGGTCGCACTGTGCTCATCATCGCCCACCGATTAAGCACCATTCAAAGGGCTGACTTGATCTGCGTGATGAGCAATGGTCGTATTGTGGAGGTGAGAAGGCTGAGTATTCAGAACATACTCTGACCTCCATTTAAATCCTCCAGCTAATTTACTCTAGCTTTTAATGTCAGAGATGTACTTTGAATTCTTTCAGTATTCAGTAATAAATATGGACATACTGGTAGCTTCCTTGTTGAGTTGATTGTGTTATATCAATTTTTATTATATCTAACACCTTTTTCCTTTTTGTTACAGGCTGGGACACATGTGGAACTGCTGAGCAAAGGAGGATATTATTCTGATCTCATCCGCAGGCAAAGAGCTGAGGGGCAAAAATGACCACACCCATATTTGTTTACAGTAGCTGTATAATACTGTATAATGGTGTTTATTTTGAAATGCATAGCAAGACATGTGTGGAAAATTAATTATTTAAAATGTACTGTAAATTTGCCAGCTCTGTGACTAGTTTTATGAGAACTTACAAATGTGTATGAACAAATGGACCAATGTGGATTGGCCTGTGATGAACAAATTACACTACTGTATGCGCTGTTATTTCCAATATTGTTGATAGAATGATAGATTATAATGTGCTGGAACAAAATATTAAAATTACTTAAATTAATTTAAAGTGTTTTTTATCTGTTTGTGGGTGACAATAAACCTTGCTTGTTACAAATTTGAAAGAAACTCAACACAGACCCTTACCAGTGATCAGTACTGACATTATTCTAAATTTAAACTCTGGGGAAGGAATTGCTGTTTTGGCATCATTCCTCTTTGCCTCCACATACATTTGTATATATAGTTTTACTACATCCAGGCCACATGTAAAGAAGAAACTTCACAGCCAGCACATATCCCTTGTGCTCTTAAAAGACTAAAGTTAGGTCCATAGTTTGTTAGACAAAGACACTTTTTGTAGTCTTCTGTCTGTACACTATCACAGTGGATTTTACATCTGACTTAAAGGTTCAAGACATTTAACAAAAATTTCATTAACTATTTACTGTACGAGTTACAGACATTTTTATACATAATGCCTCATTTTCAGAGGCTCGAGACTAGTTGGACAAACTAACAATTTTAAATATAAAGACACTGATTCTTGTAAAAACTCTTGGATTGCTTCTGCAGCATTCTTTGGATCATTGTTTGCATCGTGACGCTCACTCCACTCAGTTTACCCTGCTGAACCTGAGCAGAGTATAGCCCTGCACGCAATTCATCCTGCTAATTCTGTCAGTAATCACACTTTGTGGCGCATACCATGCCCATATTATAACATCGGCTCCATGTTATTATATGGGCACGATTATGGGCTTTTTCTTTTACTTAGCATTGTTCTGGTACAAGTTAATCTTGGTTTACGTGACTAAAGAATCTTTTGGCGCTTTAAAATGTTTTGTTGTTACACTCTGTTCTTGAATCCATGAATGTGTTTCTTGATTATAAACTTCAACAATAATACAGCATTACACATATGGGCAGGGATAGATAGCTCAGTAGGTAGAGTGGTGGCCCCATGATCGGAAGGTCGGGGGTTCGACTCCACTGAACGGCTACCCTGAGGTTCTCCTGAGCAGGGTACCGTCCCTACACACTGCTCCCTGGGCGCTGCATTGATGGCTGCCCACTGCTTCACTGGGTGAATGGGTTAAATGCAGAGGAACTATTTCCCTATGGGGACTAACACACACACACACACACAGCAATTTCCTAGAGAGTGTTCTTAACTTAGTAAGATGTTGTGAAGTTGTTTTTCTTAATCATAGAAATAATTTTGTCATCATCCACATTAGTTTTGCAATCACTCAGTCCTTTTGGTGTTGCTGAGCTGGTCATCCCATTCCTTATGTTTAATAATGAACCAGGTTATTGATTTGAAACACATTTTGGCATCTCTATAAGCTGCAAACAGAGAGATGCCAAACTGTGTTTCATTGTTCTTACATCAGTGACAATAAAGATTTATTCTATTCTATTGGCCTCCCCTAAAATTGATTTATTGTCCTTTTTAGCCTTATGATAGCCTTCTTCACTTGCACTAACATCTCTGAGTCTCATATTTTAAATTACAGCAAAAAGCTTTAAAATATAATCTCAAAACGTTTAATCAAGTTTGGATATTATGTCCTGTTCACTTATCATGACAGAACACGGGAACAGGCCTCACCTGGCTATGAAACTGCTTGTCAATCCATTGTCCAATTACTTTTAAGCCTCTGAAAATGGGTGACTATAGAGAATGCCTGTAATTAAACAGTGAATGCAAAACGTTTGTAAAAACTCCTTTAATTAAAGCGGGAAATATGCAGCTTGATTTTGATTGATTGATTTAAAATCCACTGCTGTGGTGTATAGAGGAAACACCAAAAAATTGTTCTTTTGTTCAAAAAATTAGGGATTGCAGCTGTATGTGCTGACATATTCTTTTGTAATAATAAACAATAGCAATCAGTATTCCGAACAATGGGCTTGTTTGCTGATCACATCACAAAGGACATAAAATTAATATCGCCTTAAAGTTGTGTTTACATCACTACACATATATATTAGGCCATATTGGAAGTCTACTGAAGAAATTAACAGTCTCACAACTTCCTAGAATACATTTGCACTTTAAGATTATGTTAGTAATGATCGCCCCAGATAATCACATCTCTACCATGTTCATATTATCACTTTGTCTGCAGCAACACCTCTGTGAATGAGCCATCTTTAATGAGCTTTAATGCTATTATGGATTACTTTACTTTTGTACATAAACTTGCGTTTTACACGATTTTCACAAATGATGTTTTTTAAGGACACGAAATTCTGCTTGTTAAAATGCTGTTCATTATAGCAGATTAGTTTCAAGGTTGCTGTAATTCGACTTTCAGCCTGTAGATGACAAACAAGACATGCTCGGCTGCAATCCGAAGAGCAGCAGCATAGTAGACAGATTTAAGCTAACGCTAGCTACAATAACATTTTCTTTTCACCCCAATTTGGGGTGTTGTCATTCGTTGGTTTTTTAACGTATTCGAGGCTGGCTTCACTGGCCAAACATGCAGAAATATGAAAAGCTTGAAAAAATCGGGGAGGGTAAGTTTCAGACTTTCGTTTTGGTTAATTTCGCAAGGTTGATATTAGTTAGCCTAGCATGCTAATGTAGCATTCATGCAGGTCGAAGGCTAAAGTTAGCTAATCTGTAAGCAATATGTATTCGTTGATGTATGCCCCAGTTAACCACATGGAAACATTGCGAGTTTTTACTCGCACTAGTATGTGCTAGTAACAGTGCCAGTCCGAAGAGCTCTGCCTTCCAATTTTACTATATTAACGCTAGCTAACGGTGGGCATGTAGCGAGCTAATATTAGGACCCCTTAGCTGGTGCCCATTCATCGGGATATGTGGTTTAAATAAATTTTGTCTGCTCCATAGGTACGTATGGGACCGTTTTTAAGGCAAAAAACAGGGAAACCCATGAAATTGTGGCTTTGAAAAGGGTCAGGTTGGACGACGACGACGAGGTTTGTTCTTTATAAAATGATATGAGAGTCACAGTGTTTGTTAGCTAGTGGTTAGCAGGCTAGTACTAAATGGAAGCTGTTTGTTTTGTTTTATTAAATTTTTAAAATAATCTTTTAGGGGGTGCCTAGTTCTGCTCTGAGAGAAATTTGTCTTCTGAAGGAACTGAAACATAAAAACATTGTCAGGTAAGTCTGACAGAAGAGCTGAATGCCTCCAGTTTGCATGTAACCCTGATGTCAACAAACACCAACAGAATATTATTTTGCCTTTTTTAGACTACATGACGTTTTGCACAGTGACAAGAAGTTAACCTTGGTTTTTGAATACTGTGATCAGGTGAGTTGGTCACCACTAAAACGCACTATATCTTAATATGTACCTTCTGAGGCTAATATGTCTCTCTTCTCTGCTGCAGGATTTGAAGAAGTATTTCGACAGCTGCAACGGGGATCTAGATCCTGAAACTGTGAAGGTGAGACATAAACATGAAGAGCATTTAAACTATGTAAACCTGACTGCTTAAAAACCTGTTTTTTGCTTAAAATTTCAAATTAACTCCATATTGTTGATGCTGTTTGTTTTCCTGTACAGTCATTCATGTACCAGCTGTTGAAAGGCCTTGCATTCTGTCACAGTCGAAATGTTCTTCATAGAGATCTGAAGCCGCAGAATCTCCTCATCAACAGAGTGAGTGTTTAGGTGCATTTGGACTTGATGGCTGATAAACATTCATTGCTGTGTGGACTCCATCAGTATACTATTTCTTTAAAGTGAAAACTAAGTGAGATGGACACTGGTTTTCTTTGTGAAAACAAGCACCACTGAGTTTATCATTGAGATTCTGTGTAATATCCTTTGTTTTGAAGTTCATTCATTTGAGCACTGCAGCTTACTAGTGTCTTAGTTTACCACGTGTGATACAGAGATTGCATTCACGGGGCGACGATGAAATGATAATATACATAATATAATTCAAAAGCAGTGGGATTTAGAATAAATTTTAAAAAAACAAAGGTTTTTATATTGCCGTATTAACGTCAAAATTTTGTTAGATTGACTCAGGGAGGTGATAATGTGGATACAGACATGTATCCATTCATATGCTTTGATAATTATAGTAAGAATTGTTTATCTGTCTGTAGAACGGAGAGCTGAAGCTGGCTGACTTTGGTTTGGCTCGAGCTTTTGGAATTCCTGTGAGGTGTTACTCAGCAGAGGTAGGTTATACATCATTAATGCAGAAGGTAATAACAGCTCACTGCTTTAAACTAAAGACATATGACCAGTGTTAAAAGCATAATTTTTGGCACCTGCTGTGTCTAAAGAGAGGACAACTTATTTTTAATGTTGTGTAAACTAATGGTGTAAGAATACTTTAAAGCTGGCTTTCCAAGAAGTATTGGTATCCAAAAGGTTAACAATCTTATGATGAAACATACTATCTCAGTTTTTAAAACAAAACCACTCTTCCTGAGTAAAATGAAAGCTTCCAGCTTTGTTTGAGAAGTGCACTGACCTAATTACCTTAAGATCTAAATATAAAAGGGAGCCAGAATATAGCACAGTATTTACATCTAACCAGTAGATTCCCTTCAACTTTTTCAGTGTTTTATTTCGTTTTTAAAATGTGCTTTCTTTGCAGTCTCTCATGTGCACACAGTTAAAGTCGTCAAGTTGTTTCTTTTATCTTCAAATTAATTTGTTTAATTAATGATGAAATGGAGTGACGAATGTCTCAGCATGTGGGTGTTTGATTTTTGTTATTGCTAAAGCTTTGAGAGAAATGACGGGCGAGGCTTACCTAAAAACCTGGCAAACGATTCTCATGGAGATTTTGACCCAGGTTGACGCTGCTGATCTGAAAATGTAATAAACAGAAAATCTAGAGGAGACCTGAGTTTGAAGCATTGAGATTTTAAAATATCATTTACATTTAAGAGGATGTATTGCTCTGTGGCTTCCACAGTTGCTTCATGTTACATCGACATATTATATAATATACATAGTACGAGCAGCTTAAACGTAGTATAGGGTTTTTTGTTTTTTTTTAAGTTTTTACTTTATCCACAATATTATTCAGCTAACCCTTATAAAAGCCAGTTTTATCATATTTAGAAGCAAGGTCTTAACAACACTGTACTTTTTTCATTTGTCGTAGTTGAAAAACTTGAAATCCTTTTCTAGCTGGAAGCTCTACAAGTATAAGTTTTGTAAAAAGAAAAGTTAGTAGTTGTTTTGTAGCAGGTAGTCATGTTTAGTAATTTGCACAACAATTACTAAGGTGAACTTTTGCACTTTTTAAACTGAAGCATAGTCACTTGCAGTCAGCCCACACATTTGCTCTGAAAAGTGGAATTTTTCTATAATTGCATTTGATTTTCGTTTTTTTGTCCTTTTTACTCCTGCGGTGCCCTCCAGGCGACTCATTTTCATAAGTCCTTGGAAAAATTAGTGTGTGACACAGCAGCAGCTTTTTAAAATGCCAACAAGTTGTGGTGGAAAGCAGAGGGAGATTTAAATATGCCATTCAGTATTAGTAACAGTGTTGCCAAAGTAATTTCTTTGTGAAACACACCAAATGTAAAACCCACCTCAGAGAGCCATCATTATGCCCAACATTTATTTTAAGATTAGTCTGGTTGTGATAATATATTTTGTTTTGATTTGTTTTTAGGTGGTGACATTGTGGTATCGGCCTCCGGACGTGCTGTTTGGAGCCAAACTTTACTCTACCTCTATCGACATGTGGTCTGCTGGATGCATATTTGCAGGTCTGTGTGTGTGGTTTGTGGAATCAAATGAGGGTAAAATTAAACAAGTAATCCAATAATTTGGTGCTGGGTGGTAAGACCACAAATGTATCTCTTTTTAGGATTCTGGTAGTTTCATATTATTTTACAGTATTATTAATATTTAAAGTATTACTTTTAAAGGTTCCAGTTCAGGTCACAGTGTGAGCAGGTGACCATAAGATACAAAGTTAAAAACAGCAGCCTGGATTCAACTCCAACCCAAAGGCCTTTGAAGTCTATGCAGAAATAGTGTCATTGTCCTTCGTACATATAAATAAACAGAATGTTTATATTGTACAATAAGAGGCTAATATGGATGGCTTGTTTTTTCCATTCATAAATAAAAATCAATATTTTAATAAGATAAAAATATCTTTACTTTACTATGTAAAGTAAAACTCTTACTTTATCAATAAAGTAACAAAATAATTGATGTAATACTATATACAAGTAATAAATGTGCAAACAAAGATTTAAGTTAAAGAGTTGCCGCTTGTCCCTGCTCTCTCCCCCTGCTTTCTTGTCTAGTCTTCTTTAAAGTCACTCAACATTTAAGTAAACAGTCATATTGTGTAGTGGTTGAGGCCAGCATCTTTAAAGGATAGTTAGTTGTTTTTTGTGTTCATGTTTTGAATGGTAACTTAATTTGATGCCATTTATTTAATTTTTTTTCCAGAGCTGGCTAATGCTGGAAGGCCTTTATTCCCCGGGAATGATGTGGATGACCAGTTGAAAAGAATTTTCAGATATCCTTTCCATGCTAATGTAGTACCTACTGACGATATACAGTTTGGTATGTGGGTCTCTGGTTTGTTCGGGCAAAACTACTCATATTTAAATTATTTATGAACAGCAAGTCTTAAAAGTAATGTTAAAAGTTTGTCTTTAACTGCTCTGTACATTGTTGGGAACACCAACTGAAGAACAGTGGCCAACAATGACAAAACTCCCAGATTACAAGGTAGTTTTTTTGATGTCATTTCTTTTGTAAAACTTCAAGTGCATTGAGCTTTTACTGAATTGTTTTTATTCTTTACAAACTCTTTTTCTTCCTTTAGCCATATCCCATGTATCCTGCCACCACCTCACTGGTCAATGTGGTCCCTAAATTAAGTAGCACAGGACGGGATCTACTTCAGGTACTCTAAAACAAATTTGCGCAATATTTGAGTAGCTACAGTAAAATAATGGAAATCTGTTATTGTAGCTGGGTTATTCCATCTAAAATCATTGTGGGCCTTCTGCTCAGTCACCTCCGGTTTGCTGAAAAACTTTAGACAACTTTTAGTAAAGGTTTACTTGATAATTTTCAGATTGGTGTTTTGTGTGTGTGTGTTTTTTCGTTGTTGTTTTATTTTTTCCACCCCAATTTTGAAAAATGATTGGTCCAATTCTAGCATGTTTTTTTTTTTTTTTCACATGTTGAAATATGTTGCAATATTTGGACGTGAATATGTTAACAAAAAAATGCAAAATGATATATATAAATATTGCAATTCTTACAATGGTCATCATGAGGATAGCATGATCCCTGTTTGCCTGTTGCAGTCACGGCTAGGTTAGAGGGTAAGGGTCTTGTATCAGACTACCCTAACCACATTGTTCCATGTGGACACAGCAACTTGGCCTTGCAAGGCTCCTCACATGAAATGAGCTATTAATCCCTTCTTTATCACTCCTAATTATGCTGCTATATTAATTTCTATGAACAAAATCTTTTGCAATTATAGTTTATGCATTTTTTTATTGCCTCTTAGTACATTTTAAACTAAATCTGACTCCTTCATGGCAATGTGCATGCCTGCAAAGTGGGTTGCGAAAATGCAAAAAATAAGCCTATATTTAACAAAATTATTTTCTCAGTTATAATTAGAGTACCCCCTGGAAACCCCAGAATTTTTTGTATTTAGATTAGACTGTCTAGTGACATTTTTGTGGTGTAACTTGTCACATTTGCTCGATGACAAAATTGGTTTATTTTTGTGACAAAAGAATTTCATGTTTATTTTCCATTACTGTGAAAAACATCTACATAACATTAAAAAATTGTCACTCAATGTCTTTTGCAATAATATATTTTTTAGTATATGCTCAAATATGATACCTTTTATTTTAATTTTGACTAGCAAATATTCAATAATTTGTTTTTATAGTAAAGGAGGCCAGTGAAAATTTTAAACTATTTGATAGTTTTTAGATATGTTAAAATGGCCTTGGATTCCAAAGTGTTGGGGGAAAAATGCAGGAAGTGGGTAGGCAGAATATTTAAAAAGAATAAATAAATAAAAAATGAAAAAAAAAGAAGCAAAAAATGTTTAAAAAATGTGATGATTTGAGATGGATTAACCCAGCTAAAAGTTTTGCTGTAGGAAATCTGATACTGCTAATCACTAATTTAAAATCTATCCTTTGATCTCACCCAGAACCTGTTGAAATGTAATCCTGTCCAGAGGATCTCTGCAGAAGAGGCCTTACAGCATCCTTACTTTGCTGATTTCTGCCCACCATAAATGCTTAACTGCCTCTCGATAAACGTCAGCTGCCAGAATCAACCATCCCCGCTCTCTTTTGGGACTTCAGGAAAAATTCAAAACAAGGCAAATCCCTCACTGGATTTTCAAACACTCCCCCTGCTATTCATTCTGTTGTGCCTCTGTGAGGAACAAAGTCCTAGTGTCACTGCAAGGATTTATTAGCTTCTTTTAAGTTGAAAGCCTATTTTTAATTTGGCACATACACACTTTCCAGTTAATTGGCACAAATGTGGGACGACGTTGGACCGCATAAACCTTATACGTGTGAAAGCGGTATATCATAATTAAAAATGGCCCTTAGAATCTGTGGTAATCTCATTTGGTGAATTCACTTTGAATAACTACAATTTTAGTGCAGTACAGTAGCCCCTAAAAAGCCTTTGTAAATATATTGTTTCTATTATGTTTTTGTTTTCAAAGCAGATTTGAAGTCTTATCATTTGTAGAGGTTTTGATGCCAGTTCCAATATTTATATCTGAAAGTTTACAATATGTGATGGTATATTGACCACCTGAATCTGGTTATTAAAACATATGGCTGAGACGTGTGGACAGACTAATTTAATGGTGGCGTTCTAAATGATCTCATACTCTTATGTGGCATGTCTGTACAGCTGTTTACCTATTAGCCATCATATATACATTTACTGATTTAATATTTTTAACACATTCCAGAGGCCACTGATGCTACAGAGCTTCCGTTTACGATTAGACTGCATTAATAGATTTGTGGGCTTTAGAGTCATGCTATTCATTTGAAAATGATTAAGGCATAAGTCAATGTTTTTGTAACACAAGCTTTCAAAAAGCTTCCGTGGGGGCTTCCTGAATATTAATATGTCATTTGGTAATAATCAAAGGGAAATGGGAATTCCCCCCAGTTAAAAGCTAAATTTAATTACCTTAATCACTCTTTTTACTCATTAGGTAATGCTAGCTGTTAATCAGACTTAACTGTAAGTGTATCTGTTGAATAAATGAGCCTTTTTTCCTACAGCTAGTACCAAATTAAAAACTGACTGGCAACAATGTAGAAAACAGTGAGACAATTAGAGACCGTTTTGATTACTTGGGCTGTACGCACTTTTGTGTTTTCTGATATTTTACATACCAACGCTAAAACTCATTTTCCAATTACCTATTACAAGATTTTTGGATAGCACGAGAGGCTAACTGATCATTTCTGTTTCTCAGGCTTTTATTTTCTCATTTTGTATTTATCTTTTGTGCACTTTGTGATAGTTTTATTTCCGATTGTTTAGTTGTCGTTACCTTAAAATACGTTGAACACTGACAGCCAGGATTATACCAATTAACAGTAAATGGGCTAATATATATGTGTTAATGACTAGTGGACCATTGTTGAACATTTTTATTTGTTTTTTACATTTCTATCACCATGACACTAACACTTTTCTCAAATGCTTTTCTAACAGTTGTTAAAAATGGAAAAACAAACCCAGATAATCTGCTGATAATCTGTATTTTTGCGTAATAACTGTTTTTGCACCATTAGCTGTTTCCATTTCAGTTACTTAATAACATGGTTAACAGCTCGCAGTATTATTTTGCTTATGATTGTTACAGAGCTTCTAGTCATCCCATAGAAATCATCCATAATGAGCTGTGTTTGAAGTAGCTGTCATAATAGGAAAGGGGCTCATTTTCTTTTCGCTGATGTAAAACAAAAAAATTGATGCATGTATTTATTAATGATGGAATATCCACTTTTTAATTATTTTTTTTTTAAAATGTAGCACACTTTCATTTAGTACAAAAACTCTTTGAATGATCTGAGTATGCTCCAGTCTATTGTGTTTTGCAGGCTCTTTTTAGGATTTTCAAATGTTTGAAGGTTATGTGGGTGTGTGGATTAAGTTATAATGAAAAAAACAAAACATGTTTTCACTCATCCACTTGTATTGACAGAACATTTGCAGAACATTTACCATTTAAACGGCTTAAAATTGAATTTGAGCGATGAGTGGATTTTGCACTTTGTCTAGTCTCTGCTTTTGCTGGTAGACTGTGGGGCAAATGTTTTATGTATATTTCAGCTGATAAGACTCAGTATTCAGTAAAGTCAACATAAATACAAGTTTGCTTTGATTTAAAATGAATTTCCTGCTTGATTATTCAGTAATTTGGGGGGGGAGGAGCATGTCATTTTGTGCACAGTTATTGACAGAGTGATCCTATAGCAGTGCACACCTTAGATGAGAAGACGTTACAATCATCTATAATGAAAATCACTGGACAGTAGAACTAAATACAAGTTATTCAGTGCTGTATACTTCTCATGTTCTTCTGCTGCCACGCTTCTAATATATAGTCCAATAAATTTTGGAGGCAAATATGAAAGAACTCCAGCCTATATCAAAACCACACATTAATAATGCAATACTGCATTATACAATAAAATAATATTTTGCATAATCAGTGGCACTTAAGGTAAATTTGGTTATAATGCTGATGTTCGTAAAGGTTGAAATACATTTTGCAGTTTGTTTTCTACATCTCTTTATGTCTCACCTTGTACATCACTGAGGTTTAAAAAGAGTGCAATTCCACCATCCAGACACACGAATAATTATTATTATTACTCTGCAAATAATTGTGATTGATTTCACACACAATGGACAGGAGTGTGGGTATAATAATTATACAGTAAGGTCCATAATTTCTTGGACAAACATAATTTTTGTAGTTTTGCCTCTTCACACTGTCACAGCGGCGTCTAAATCAATCAATAAAGGCTCTCAGCTTTAATTCAAGTTGTTTTTTAAAGTTTTGTGTGAACTGTTTACGAATTACAGCTATTCTTATACACAGTCCCCATTTTTAGAGGGTGAAAATTAATTGGACAGTTGACCGACGAGCTGTTTCTTTGCCAGGTGAGGCCTGTTCACCTGTTATTTAAAGACAAAGGAAGCAAACATGATATCAGTAGTTAATTTAAAGTTTTGTATCGTAGGTTACTGTAATTGTAAATCTGAAGCTCAAGTGAAGGACATCATCATTAGGCTGAAAAACAAACCTTTCAGAGAGACCAAATCAACAGTTAGCTATGTTCTTAAAACGAATGATTGGATTGGCCAAGAACTGGCCATGTTTTACAACAAGGGTACAAACCATTGGTTACACTCAAGAACCAGAAGGCTAGATTAGACTTTGCCAGAAAACCACTAGAGCCTGCACAGTTCCAGAAAACAACCTTTAGTCACTTAAATCCAAGGTTAACTTGAACGTGAGATCTGATCTCAACCTAAGGGAGCATCCTTTTCAGTTATGAAATACAAAGAATGCAGAGAGATGCACAAACTGAAGATGGCTACAGTAAATAAATGGCACAGACTAGACTTCAGGCAGTGACCGAATCCAAATGAGTTTCATCTAAGTGCTAAAAACAATCATTAAAATGATGATAGTTTGTGCAATTACTGATATCCTATGAAAAAACTAGGGTCTAAAAATGGCTGTAATTTCTCAACAGCTAATGTAAAACTTTTGTTGCAGAGAAAGTCTGCACTTCAATCACATATTATAACAGTTAATGGGGAAACTTTCTCTAAAACCCCTTGAATTAAAACTGGAAACTTCTATTGTGTGATTTAAAATGCACTGTGATAGAGTACAGAGGCAAAACAACTACTATCATATTACCACTAGTGGTAAAAAAACAAACAAACCCTCCTTTGCAGTATTTATTCTCCTTTGTTACCTGTTTAGAATATTCTGTTGTGCTTTAGCTTCACTGTAGACTTTATCAGGTTTATTTAAGCTGGATGTTACATTTTTTTGCTGGCACATAACATCCTCTGTAAGTACTGTTTAAAAAGCAAACAAACATCCAATACAGTTTTATTTAAAACGGACTACGTTACACATAGTTAAGTGTGTTAACTATTTAATGTACAGCTTAGAGTTAAAATCACATATCTACAATAAAATGCACATATAGCATATAGAGCCAGATGAAACAACTTCTTGTTCTCCAGGTGTGTGTATGTGTGTGTGTGTCTCTATGTGTGTGTTGGCACAGGAAAATCTTTGTTACCTGTAAGAACCTGTCTTAAAGGCACATTTTAGTTTGATTTCAAGCCACACAGTTTAATCAAGCCACAAAAACTATTCTTCTGTGTATTGCACAGTCCCAAGCCTGGTTAGAGGAGGATTCTTACATCATAATGTAATCATAATATCCAGGACATTGTAGTGCAGGATGTGGAGAACACTGTTTTGATTCATCTGACTCCAAAGAAAATACACTTTGAACAGTACAAAGTGAATAGCATAGCTAATATTACATTAATAGATCAGAGATAATAGGAATACACATGCAAGGAAGAAAATGGGTGATGTGCTGTAAATTATTAGGATAAAATCAATCAAATTCAGGTATTTGGTGGCAGAAATATATAGTGAACTTTTTTTTCTACTTGGCCGTAACTATGCTGTAAATATCCATGAAAGATTAGTTAATGAGAATAAATAGTTAAGGAATATTTTCTGCCAGCTCAGATACACTCTACTGCTTCTTTGACTGGTAGTAAGGCAGGGGGTGGGGCGAGAGAGAGGTAAAGCCTTCATATCTCCACAGTTTGCGGTAATGTTGGGTCACTTGTAGCCCAGCAGCATCACACACACACTCAAAATCATCATGGCAATACAGCATCAGAGGAGGACCATTGTGTAACATGAATTGGCATCTGCGTCTCTTATTGAGTTCATGATGGTTTATTTGTCATATCATACATCATTGTTGCAGGCGGCAGCTGCTCGGTTTACATCCATCGTAACTGTTTCATACATCACAAACTGATAATTTGGATCCTCAATCAATCTTTTTCTGGTCAGTTTGCTAACAGTGCTGTCTGATTCAGTGCATTTATTGCTCGTAACACAATGCCACTGACTAACCCTTTTTTTCTTAGTGTCTGCTTCCTGAAAGGCAAAAGTTCCATTTGGATTAAGTCCTTCCACAAGGTGCTCTCTGGCTCCGCTTAAATTACCAGTCTTGTTCCTGATAACGCCGGAGCTGTGAGCACACCACATAACAGTGTGTGTAGTTAAATCTAGAGCCACAAAAGGTAGTTACAACGATAGACGCCCAGTCATTGGCTTTCCAGTGATGGCTGATTTCCAAGGGTTTGTGCTTCACATCAACAGTCATCTAATACACAGACAACAGAGTAATAAAGCTACAGAGTTATGAACACCACTCACTTGACTGGCGTTATACATGAAAGTTTCACGAAAAAAAAGGTTCCCAGTATTTATAGTACCTACAAATCATAACCGAAATATTTAAATAACACGCTCTGTGTTTTTTAAACGAGAAAGGAAGTAGACTGACACGAAGGTTCGAAGAAAAGTTGTGTACATGAGGAGTAAGATGAGTAAATATAGAGTTTATTATACTTGATCATTTATACATCACAAACTGTTATTTGTGACTTATTACATATTCTGTAATCATAATAATAATAATAATAATAATCGTAATAATAATAGGTTACAATGGTAAAATTTTACAATGCATTTCTAATATAAATCAACTGAATGGGGCTGAGGTGCAGTGAGTTGTAGATGTATTGAGGCAAAGTCTCTTGTACCTAATAAAGTCTGCCATCCATGTTGTACTCAAAGACACTTGACGGTCCACCTAGATAGAAAGTCCAAATTCCTTGTGGTGTAAGAACGGATGAAGAAAGATTTTTTTTTTGTATTTTAAATTTATATATCTATATTTATATGTATATATGACATGTTTCACATGAGCAATGTAGAATTTCTTCATGGCATTTGATTGTGGGTATTTACAAATTTCTGTCAAGTTTAGGAATGTCACCAGCAAGCCTTTTAAACTCACAGCATTTTCAATAGAGAATAGATTACTATCACAGGGGATTGTGCTGATGAATCTTTAAGACATTGTGATGAAAACAACTGAACTATTAGGAAAGGCAAAAGAAATTCAGATTGTTTCTGTTGGAGCGAATTCAACTGAAAACAGGGCCAGCTTTTATGGGGACAATTTCTGCAGCAACTATATAAAGAAATGGAAATATGACTGAAAATGAAATATAACAGTACAATCAACTGCCTTTTTTTGCCTTCTGACTTCATTTTTTTTACCCTCACTGTCTTAAAAAAAGCCTAAAGTCAACAAAACCATGTAATTCAGGAGTCTTAAAACAGCATATATACAAATCATCAAGTTCCTCTCGTGTTTCAAAGGTGGGTAAGCACACATGTCTAATTAAAGACAATTTAAAGCCCCATAGTAGCAAAAGGCAACATTCAACACTAGTCTAGTGTTTTAATTCATGTCAACAATCAGCTCATTAAAAGTGGAGCAGATGTCTAAAAGGCTCTTCCGTTAAAACGTGACTGCTATAAGGTCACTCAATACAGCATTGGTTAGATGCTGGAGGCATAACACTGATAAACGCTGCTACACATACAAATCCACATGCGTTTGTTGTTGCTTTTTTTTATAACTAGACTGATTGATGTACATCAATACTAGCACAGCAATACCACATGACTCATCGCAACACAGTTCAGATTCCTCTTTTTGAACACGTTTATCCTCACGTATTGTATACTCGATAACATAAACAAATCTACTGAATGAAACATGAGTAAATTAACATGGATGCCTTGACATGGCAGTTAAACCTGAGTTGTGTTTTGGAAGTGGTCTCTTTTGTTTCTGATGATAGTATTCTATTTCTATTCAGGCATTGATAAACTGTACTACGCATTTTGTGAGCATACACTCAAGAGCCTTTCTCTGTTAAAATGATTTCACAGTTTGCTGTCAAGTACCCAGATGTTCCACCCCATCCCCAACCCCTGCTTTATGTTGTCAACAAGCAAACTCCTCAAAGTTGCCTATAGTCGGGTGACGAGGTAACATGTTCGGCGTGAATCCGAGACTGTCCGAGTGACTCCGGAGGGTGTCACAGGTGCTCTGCAAGAAACAGAGAGGAGGGGAGCAGGGGAGACGAGTTCAACCGGGTTAAGGGAGGAGCGATGCAGGGAGCGATGATGATGCCGATGATGGAGGAAATAAATGAGCCGCAGGTAAAAAGAGAGCAGCCAATACAATCGTAGAGGGATGCAGAGGGGAGAAAAAACAAACAATGTAACAAGGAGAAATTGATCAAAAACAGGAAAAAATGGGGGAATGATTGTGAATGAAAGGATAATGAATGACAGAAACATATGTGCACAATGATGAGGCAAAGAGTACAACAGATTCAGGGGTTTCGACATCAGCCACATTGCATATGTTTCATATGTAATGAGAAGATAAATTGAGGGGGTAAGATGATGGGGTAAGATGAATGAAAGGAGGGAGAAGAGAAAGAAAACAGCAGATTTTTAGTCCTGGTTTTACACTAGCATGTGTAATTCTGATAGTTATGCAAGTAGTAACATCCACATATGTCTGCATTTTTTGTCATGTACAAAGGCCCTTATTCAGCAGATAACTGCAGATATGTGGATAACAAACACCGGTAGTCCCATCGACAAAGAACCTTCTATCTTTGTGCAAACTCACTGCATGCAGGCCTGCGATAACATCACAAAGTAATGCATCTAGTGATGTTATTTGGCTCGGACCTTCCAATGCATTGCCTCTAAATAGACCTTAGTGCTGCAGGGAAACAAATAGATCTCATGTTGTTCAGAGTTTTTGTGCAATTCAGTAAATATGTGATATGCTTTCACAGGAGTACACTTTATCCTACGAGGAGAAAAAAAGCATCATTATTCAGTGGAAGGAACAAGTTTTGCAGAGAATAAGAGCTTTATGCACTTGGAGAATCCAACCAACTTCAGCCTTCTGTCGGCCCAGCACCCTTCTGTCAAAGCAGACAACAACTAACCTGTTCTTACACGGCGACAGATATTAAAAGTGCTCGCTACGGCTGGATAATCACACCTCTCTTTTGTTGACTGCCAACCAAATCATTTGTAACCATGGAGAAAATGATGAATGTGATGATCTCAAGTATGTATGAAAGAGAGGGACAGCATGGGAGGGAGCATCTATTATCAATGGGATGTGCTACCTGGGGGCATGATTAGGCGTGACACCAGGGCTGGTTGGGTTCTCTGGAAACTCCTGGAATAGACATGATGAAAAGAAAGATGGGTGAGGGTGACTGAAATGAAAATAAAATACAATGTAAATGCTATCAGTTAAACTCCCAAGGGAACACGGTGATATCATTAAAGCACTGAAGGAAGATGATCGTTCAAAATGAAATATGAGGGGGTTTCTTAATGAGCAGGGAAGGCTAAAGTCAGTGTCACCCAGAAGGGTGTCTCTTGAACAATTAAAGCACTTCATTAACAGATTGTCTGAGTGGAGATGTGACAGTGAACTAGTTGAAAAAATATAATTAAATGTGAGAAAAAAGAAGTACAGAGGATGGTTTATTGTAACGAGGTGAACATATGACATGAATGGAGCAGAGTGCAGAAGAGAAAACACTATAAAAGCTTGAGTGCAGCCCACTAAATGAAAGCTTTCTTTCCTGCTGTTTTAGTATTTTTCTTAATAAAAAAACGACTAAACTGATTGATATTTTTGTTTAAAATCTATAAACTTCCACTTTTGTAAAAGACATTAAACATATTTTTGATCGTTTCCTCTACAACAGCTAACAAACTCAATACTGACCCAAGCATGCAAGAGCACAGCCCTCATGCAGAAACAAAACCACAACTTTCAAACAGATTTGAAGACAGAATTGGCCACAACTTATTTTGCATGCTGTCTTTTTACCTCTAATAATGTATGACAGAGAGCACAGCTTTCATTTCCAGCATGAAGCCAAGGAATGCAAATTGGCAGATTGAATAAACTCAGGGACAAAAGGCAATTTCTGCACTTAACAAAAATCTGCTTAAATGCTTTTCATTATGACAGCACCAGAAAAGAAGAGATGTTGCAGGTAGGTATTTATCTGATTTCATTAGCTAAAATACATAAACGACAGGTCCCTACCGTAACTAGGTAGTGTTTTTAGATGTTTTATATAATCGTTTTTAAGGGGCTGTTTTAAAAATTCCATTATCTAGGAAACCTGTTGAGCTAGCTCCTTCAAATTCTTTTAGTGCAACTACCTCTGTGAAGGTCGACTCTGCAGTGTAGCTCAAGTTAACAGAAAGATAGATCCTTTATAATATTTGGATGCCCAATCTCTGACTGCATATTTTGAGGCCTGTAAAAACATTGTTTTGCAGGTAGGGGACAGATATTTTAGTTATGGCTTCTCTCATATACAGACAGAGCACATAAGATTATGCAGCACAGTCCAAATCAGATAAAGGGTTCCACACATATTAAAGCTTAAACATGGAAAAAACGCAATTTCACCAAAATTCATTGTAATATTTCCAAGACATGAACCAAAATCAGCCTCACATCTGGAAAACTGTAGTTTCTACCAGTCTCCGAAACTGCTGTCACAGATCAGGCATCCAGATATTTTAGGGACTTCAAGCGCCCATCACTCAAGTTTACCTGAGCTACAGCCCTGAGATTCCACATTGAAAGTATCTGATATTTGCCTTAAAAATATCGAAGAACCTAGCTCAAGTAGCTTTATAGATAATGGAATTCTAAATATAAAGAAAAAATGATGATACTAAAAAAATGTACACTATTTATACTCTTATACCAAGCTCTATTTTCAGTGAACGTTGAGTTTGAGAAAATGTGGATTTTTAAAAAATATTTTTGGCTGCAAGCAGAAATATATCCGGTCAGCTAAAGTAGAAAGGTTGATACATTACATTTACTACTACTTTTGATTGTATATACTTTTCAGACAAGTTAATTTAACACGCAGTTCTCCTAAAGACTTCAACAATTTACTATAAGGCCTGAAGAAGCTTCCTGGCTATCAAAGAGGTAAAACTTAAACCAGTCCTGAGGTGTGCACTACAAAGTGAGACCCATGGCTTAGGGAGCTATGTCGAGCTAAAAGTCAGAGTTTTCTATGTCAAGTAGCTTTTTTTTTTACCTGCCTAAATCACCGTGGTAACATGGATAACAGCAGATTCTGAGTTTTCTTGGTTTAAAATATTTAGGCTGGCTGAGGAGCGTGTTTTAAGTGAACCGCATCTGCTGGTAAAATATATTTCATATGTGCAACTTGTTTAGCTAACATCACAAATGAAAGTGTAAAGTTGCTGCAATGCAAACTGTGCATCCCTTTGTCACTTGAATTTCCATGTTGCTGAAAGAGAAATAACGTTTTACAGGTGATCCTAATCTGCTGCTAAATCTCGTTTACAATGCTGGAACTGCAGCTGCAACACACCAAGAATACCTGTTCAGTCAATAAAGTTAATTTCACTTTGATCTATTGACAAACTAAAGCACTGAAGTCTCCTTTATTAGGCGATGGGACAGAAACCTTTAATGTTTAAACGTGTCTAGTTTAAAGCTTCAGAGCTCTAATGTGCTGCGGTCGCATTAGAAACAAACAGCAGCTGTTTATTTCAGTGGTAAAATGTTTATTTTATTGCTTTGTGCGTTAAATCACCAGTTTAACGATTTTCTGCAGCATTAGTCTTTTGTCTTATTTGCGACAGTGTTGCATTTTACTGTTATATTTTTATGTTCTTTATAGATATTTACCACTATATTATCATCATCATCATCTATTAACATCTCTGACAGGAGTAGGCAGCACTCATAGGGGTCATTTTGTGTGCACAAAGACTCGCTTGCCGTGTCAAACACCCCTTTTTATTTGAGGACACACAGAATGGTGCAGAATGCTCAGGTTAACAGAGAAAGCTGATAATCACTGGCGTTTTAAGTTCTGTCAAGCCAGCAAACACAAAGAAAGCTGGACTTTGTTGTATTTATACCTCTACCTTTTTAAAACTCTTTCAGAGTGGCATTACGCACAATATGATCAATAAAATCTATTTATAGCTTGACAGAAGGTATTTAGCACTTGTCAAATGCACTGATATTTTCACAGCGAGTGTTGGGAAGTAGTAAAGTACATGCAGTTAAACTACGTTATGCAATAATTTGTTGATTCAAGAATTTTGTTTAGATAAATATGAAAACCACCCACTATTTGCATGGGTGTGACTGTAGTGATTAAAATCTATCTTTCTATATGTTATAAGCCTTGATTTAACATTATGTCCTGAACAACAGCTCATTGCTAATCCTAAAACGATGTGTGTATGTTATTAATCATTTCCTAACTTGCATAACAGGAGGAGTGGAGATGCCTCTGGATGCAGCGTGCTAAACCACAGGGTTTGATGAAAATGCTGTTATTTAGGGCATGACTGAAACGCCTCGCAGTACTACAGTTTCCATTGCTTTGTTTTTACCATGTTAATGAAATCTCTTTAGAATTTTGGTGGTAAAACCCGGATAACAATAACAGCTCTGTAATAGTACAAAAGAGGGTGACGCTGAGAAGCTACTATATAGTGTGGAAATACTGAAAATCGGGTTAGTGTGTGGGATAAAATGAGATAACCTCTGACAATAAACAGAGTTTATGAGTCATGAATAAAATCCAATAGAAACCAGGTCAAACTCTTTACTTCTACTTCTCCATGCACTGAGATTTAAGCGTACTAAGTGGCAAAACACTTGGGGAAAAAGCTTAAAAAGAAAAGGGGCACAAAGTCAATTTGTTCTTTTGGAATACTTATGTGCATCCCAGATTTTTTGTCATTACACGGAATAATTTATGCTGCTTCTCATCATGTAAAGAAAGTACTGTATGCGTCTAATACTACTCTAATTATGCATTCCCACTGTGCAGTAAAAATATGTGCGTATGATTAATGATTGTGTTTTCTAGAAAAATATTTTGTTTCTGCAGGGCTAATTGAAACTAATGATGGCATAATGCCTTTGCTTTCTCTCTGGTGCTGTTCATTAAAAGCATTTCAAGTGTGAGCAGATATTTTGATGTTGCTGTGACCATTGTTCCTGAGCTTATTTTGTACATCACATTCACTTCACTCAATCAAGCGTATTCTTAGGGACTAAAAAATTACCAGGTTGTCGCTCTGACAGCGCTGTGGCCGTTTCTTGCGAATGAAGTAACCCAAAAGCTTATCTTTAAACACCTAAAAAACATCAGAAAAGCATTATTTACAGATTCACACATCCAATAGTTTGCTTTCTTGGGGAGTGAAGAGGATCAATACTGAGGCTGACAGCATCTATAAAGATGAAGCATCGTATCTTGCACAAAAAAATTGCATAAAAGCTTGAAGTCTAAGATGTTTAGGTTAAGAATACTTTTGGGTATATTTTGAGTAGAATTATTTCCAATTTAACATTTTAACCCATACATACTGTTCACATCACATATGATGTGTTTCTGATAAACAAACATTTTATGTCTTTTCCTAAAGAGACCAAAATACACCAAAATGAAAATATCTTTTATACTGTTTTACATTTGTGTTTCGGGTCAAATCTGACCAGAATCTCTGCAGTTTAACTACATTTATTACATTATCCATGTTTGTAGTATCGTAACCTTACATTTGCTTGCCTTGAAGCAATTGTCGTTGTGACCTGGTGCTATATAAATAAAACTGAACTGAATTAAATCGAATCTACTGAGTTGGATCCACCAGCATGGGTCAAATATAGGAAAATGGTTGTTTTAGAAACCTGTGAAATTGTACATGACATTTCTTTGTGTGCACTGGTGACAGAGTTCAATGGGAATCTTGTCACTGTCATGAGAATTGTCTGTGTTTCTACAACATATACTGGAGAACCCAGAGAGACGGGTTCTTGCTGGTCTCTGAGGGAATCCTGAAGGTCTCTGAACAGTCATGGGGGAATTTCAAAGTAGTAAATAGTAAAACTGCACCGGAGTGACAATATATTGGAACAGCAGTCATACAGGGGTCAGAGTGTGCCCTAACACAGACATTAAATCTGTAAAAGAGTGGATGTGGTTAGCACTGTCACCTCACAACAAGAAGATTGTTGTGAGGTGAGATTGTCTGTGGACTGTTGGATTTTAAATAGATCTGTAGTTTGTTATAAACACTTATTATGAGACCATTCTTGACCCAGACCATACTGTGCAGGCAGCTAATATGAACAGCATGTAGAGGTTAAGTAGCAGACACTTTATGCTTTATGCTAAGCTCTCCAGACTCCACAAGAAAGCCATAAGTTCTCTACTACTGAATTAAAAAAGGTAAAGGTTACTAAAAATGAATTTAATGTGATCTAAAAACAGAAGAATTCATTTAGTTATTGCTTAGAAATCTTTAACAAAGATCATGACTTTACCTCATATAGGTAGTCAAATATTTCTAGAATTGTAAGAACACTGGCTCCAATAAATAGCCCCATCTGGCCTCCAATGTCACCTACAGAGGGAGAGATTAACAGATACGGGTAATTAAACAATGGTGCGTGAAACCATTCCCCCTTGCTGTCACATTGAATTCTGTATCTCTTTGAGGAATCTGAGCGTAATTGTCAAAACTGTCCAACCAGCCCCAACTTCACAAACGCAGCTGCCCTTGCAAGAGCATCAGATTATGAAAACATGCTCAGCCTGTTTCACGAGTTCAAAGAGGGAACCTCAAAGCACCAGGGATGAACACAATATGCGAAATATGCGGCGGGGGGGGGGGGGATGCCCGCCGAGGGTGCTGATTCTGAGGTCAGATTTATTTATTTATTTTTTTCTCACAGTAAATATGAAACTGCAAGAATCTTACCGAGAAGTCCAGCAATTTCATAGGCCTTCTTCTGCTCAATCTTCTCATAATTCAGAGCTTCAAAGAAGATGTCCAACACCAGAATATTTTCTCTGGAGAGAGGACACACACGAGCACATCCATCAGATTTCCCCCAGGGCCATTTTCCCAACAGAACGAATGATAACTCACATCTCCTGCGTAACTATCATTCATTATTGTTACATTGAAGGTGAACGATGGAGACTTAGACCATGCTATACCACAGTACATCCATCCATCAACAGGAAAAGGAAAAAGAGGCCTTTATCTAAATAACTAGCTAATAATACTTACCCAATATATTGCTCAGTTTTGTTGAATTTCTTAGCCAGATATTTAGCAGATGCCTTACTGGGGATCTTAACCATGGACAGCTCCTTGCCATAGCGAGTCATGTTGCAGGGGGTCTGACAGACACAGTAATTGTTGTCTTTCTCTACCAAAAAGTCTGTGGATGATCAAAGTCATTTCAATTCATATTTCATTCATATTGCGATCACAATCAAACAAACCTGTATCCAGAGGCCCTGCTAAAAATATCCCACACAACCCACAACAGAGCTACATTCGCTGCCATCGTTCACTTTCCATGAAAGCAAATAATGACTGAAGCCATAAAACAGAGGAAGGGGGGAAAAAACTCAGCAGGATTTATTTGATATCAGCGAAGCACAGACACATCACAAATCTTCCTAATGGGATTTTTAAACAATGATTTTTACTTTATTGCTTTTGTTTCAGCACAATCTGGAATTAAAGTAATTTGAAGTTAAGGTTCACACAAGTAGTATCTACAGGATACAACAAGCTTGTGGCACCGCTGTTAATGCAAATACCTCACACTAATATTTTACACTTAATCCAATAAAAAAAAAAGTGTGTGCGCTCACCTAAAGCTGGATCAGCACAATCTTTGTACTGCTCAGGTGTGCAAACGGCTGTGTTTCCTGTTTGAACCAACATAAAAGTGAAAATGATTACTTATTTATAAATGCAACACGAGGGCACAGAGATTTATGGGGTTTTTTATTGGTCAAGTAACTCTCAGTTCATACCCGGCATGTGAACCATCCTGCAGTTACAGTTCTCCAGAAGGTACCGTGTTTCACAGTCGATGCGACATGCAGTGATGCTGTACGTGGAGAAGTAATCAGAGTCTATGGGAGTAGACTTGCAATCTCCCCAAGGTGGTGGGAGGTACTGAAGCTGAAAGAGTGAGCAGCACATGTTTTGCCCTCAGTGTATCAGCACACAGGATTACATCAAATACCATAATGCAAGCCCGGTGTAGCAGAATTTCAAAAAGGGAGACAACAAGCTGACAGAACCCAACACAAATGTCTTAAACATAAAAAAAGAAAAGAAAATACAGAAGCACTTGAATGAAAATGTGCACTCAGACAATACTGGCATAAAACGTCCAGTCGGAACAACATCATCGCTCATGTGTAGCAGCAAGCAGACATCATGCATAACGTTACTGATGCAGGTCTAGGCCCCGGTAGAAAGCAGAGTACCATGGGGATAGAGACAAGCTTACGAGAAATCTGTAAAATATGTAGATACAGACAGGACACCACAATCAATGGACAAATTTTACAACCTTGAGAACGGAACTGAAAACAATCAACGGTTTACTGGAGGATTCATTGAATTTAAAAGACAACATACGGAGCTTTTTTTAAAAGAAAAAATCTTATGGTAATAAGTAGTATATAACGGTAGGTTAACCTAAATGAATAATCCAGTCAATGAAAGCTTTCTAAAGAGGTTTTACTGTTGATTAACAACCTATATTTCCTCATTGATGCCCGTGAGAGTTTATTACACAACTACCCTGAATATCCCTATGAATTTAGCAATCAGGAGGAGATGTAGTGTACACTCAGTTTGCGGTCTCATTAGTGGTAGAACTCTCATTATAAGGTGAGAGCAGGTCATTACATTTATGAATAACTCTGAGAATTCTAAATGAATCCATTAGGGAAGAATATTAAACAAGTGAATTTTAAGGACCCAATTCACACTTAACATTAGACCTCGCCATCCGTCTTGGAGCTGCAGCAGCGTGCCCCATTTTGTGTGAGATCTGCTTCGACGTTAAAGGGACTTCCTCTGTGGTGTGCTGCACAGCGTGGCCTCTAACCACCAACAAGACTTCCAGCCCCCCTTTTAAGTGTCTTGTTTTCTGCCTGCTACTTATTTTCATGACAAAAATAAGCCAATTATTTATGAAGGGCGGCGATGCTTGGGTAGTTGCGCATTCAGCCGCTAACTGCAGTGGGGAGCAAGCCAACAATCTCTGCCAAAGGCTTCTTCTTGGGAAATTTCTCAGAGAAATTACACCTCCATTGTCACATTAAGGTTCACTGTAATTCCCAATCATTTCCACCAGCTCTAACCAGGTGCTAACTCTGACAGTGTAACTGTCATTTAGCCAATACAAAGTGACAGAGATAGAGTGCGATTCGCAAAAGAAGTGGATTTAAACTGGCAAACATGATTAAGCCTTTATTGAACTCCATTTCTAGCCCACAGACTCTCATAAGTGGAGATACACTGGAGATAAAACCCCCAATATAATCAAGACTATAAACTCATGCCAGAGTTCTCATGGGTAATAAAACCTAATGAATCACATTGTCTGGTCCCTGGAGATGAGATTAAGCAGAGGTCCAGTGGATCACCCCGATAACACATATAAGCAAAAACAAAATGCTTACAAAAGCAGATGTGGATGTGAAAGGGTAAAGCCAAACAACAGCTCTGATAAAGACACAGATTTGGATGAATGGCTCAAAGAAATAAAACACCTTTCCAGCTCTTTGCTGGTGAGGACAGAGAGCAGAGATGGCAACAAGGACAGACTGCAGATGCTGTTACATATCGTTGCTTCAGCCACACAGAGGAGGG